GAAAACGTTTTCTTTGGGGGAGATAAGTTTTTGTTTTCATCAGAATAGGGAAAATATATTCTTTTCTAGGCAATATTTTTACTGCCAATCAAACACACCAATGTTTTTTCTTCTTTCAAATTGAGGGCAACTAATTCTTAAAATTACTAAGGGTGCGTTTCATTGCAAGGGTGGAAAATGGGTGGAAATAAAATATTTTACAGGGAAAAAATTTGCCTAGAAAATGTTTTGCGATTGGTATAATTTTCCAGCCAAAAAATTTTTAAATTTTGTATTCGTTTGACTTTGTTTTACACGAAAATTGTCCATTAAAGTGATATTTTTTTCAACAATTTGTTATAAAATTTATTTCCATTGCAAAAAAGTAAAAAAAAAAAAAGGAAAAAAGTTGTTTCCTAAAAAATCATTTTTTAATCAAATTTTAGTATTCGTTTGACTTTATTTTACATGAAAATTGTCCATTAAAGTGAACATTTTTTTACAATTGATTATGATATTTGTTTCCATTTCCAAAAAATAAAAATAATGAAAAAAATATTTGCTTCAACAGGTTGGAAAATATTTTCCGAACAAAATGTTGGGAAAATATTTTCAAGGAAAACCAAGAAAATGTTGACGTGGCGGGTGGGGAGGGAAAAAAATGTTCAGGGAAAATTTGGGCTATCAAATAGCGCAAAAGATGGAAAACTGAAAATATTTTCTTACTTCTCTGAAAAATTTCGCCAATCAAACGCACCCTAAATATATATAATGTGTTCAATTTAATAATAATAAACCCCTATGATATATTGGACAACATGTCTAGAATAAAAGACGAGACTTTTGAATACTTTTACAAAGGAGATCCGTTAATGATTGTACGCTATCTTAGTTGAGATTAATTGACGTTTGTAAGCTTCTTAATCATGTCATGTTCGAATAATTGGAGAATTCATACAAACAATCAAATATTACAAAGATTTTCTTAAATGAGAATTGGAATGCAAGTAACTTTATATTCTTGAAATTGAGTATTTAAATTGCGAATCTTATCATTTTTTAAAATACAAAACTCGAATTCGTTGTCTAATCTCTCATCCTAATTAGTCTGATAAACTTGATGATTCGATGGTAATCCTAAATTGCCGTGAAATTCTTCTCTTTTAACACACGTAAACTTTAATGATTCTTTTTTCTAATCCATAGTGAAAATAAAAGAATGGGTTTTTGCAAATAATTTAATAATTTCTGTCACATTATAATTTAAGAAATTTAATCAGATTGATCGAAAAAGGTCTAAATACAGACCCCCTTGAAAATTCATAAAAAAGAACTAAAGGGACTCAATTGAAAGTTAGATACCTCCCCCAAAGAACAAGACACTATATTGTCAGATAGTGACAGAATTCAAGAATGTGTAGCTCATTACGTAACTTATGAAACCAAATTTTGTCAAGAAATTTCTCTGAAGCCCATTTTGAAGATACCCCTTTTTTTTTTTTGGGATAAATGTGTTTTTGAATAATGATTTTTTGAAGAATTTAAAAATAAAAAATAGGAAGTAGTTTTGAATTTACATATAAAATTATTTTATGAGAGAATATGTGCTTGAAATTGAGTTACAGAAAAATGAGTTTTGAAAAAAATGAGCTCAAACAGAGGTTTATATATTTTTTAATACTATTTTATGAAATGAGCTCTTGTTAATTGAGCCAAACATTATTTGAAAAGTATAAGCAATTCACAAATCATGTTTGGACTAGAATTTTATATTCTCAACCATGATGGAAGTCACTCCCTCCTTCAACCCTAAGCCCTGTTTGGTAGGGATTAAATTTGATTTTTAGTAGATTTTGAAAAAAAGTAATGAAATGTCTGGTTGAAAAATTATGAATCCTATAAAAATGTGTGATTAAAATTAGCAGTTGATTTTAATTTATATTAAAATCTGAATTTTTAGCTTTACCAAACAAGGCTAAATTGAAGGTAAAAATGCATTATTGGTACTTATCTATTGTTAAAATCATCAATCATGAAAAAGAAGCATCAATCATTTAGTTGTACAATCAAAATTGAATAACTGTAATGAATTAAGCCCCATTTGGTGGTCTTTTATTTTTTGAAAAATATTGTTTTGAATAATGAATTTTTGGATAATGTGTGGTTAAAAAATAGGAAAGACTTTTGAATTTACGCGTAAAATATTTTATTGTGTAAATGTGTGATTGAAAACGAGTATATAAAAAAAGCTTTTAAATAAAGAGAGTCAAACATGAGCTAAATTTTGCGAAATTATTACATGATCTTCGCACGTCAAAATCACGAAGTTAAATTTTGTTTTTCAAATATGATCGACATTTAAAACTTGAA